ACCAAAAAAAAAAAAAGTGAAGCAGTCAGTGCTTAGACTGTCCAAATGGTTGTGGTCGCATGGCCAGAAGTGGGAATGCTCCTAAAAAGATCCTTATGGGAGCTGGGTGCCTAACGCCTGTAATCCTAGCTACTCAGGAGGCTGAGATCTGAGGGATTGCAGTTTAAAGCCAGCCCAGGTAGCAAAGTCCGTGAGACTCATCTCCAATTAATCACCAGTAAACTGGAAGTGATACTCAAGTGGTAGAGCATTTGCCTTGAGCTGAAGAGCTGAGGGACAGCACCCAGGCCCAGAGTTCAAGCCCTACAACCGATCAGAAGGAAAAAAAAGAATTTGTGGGACAAGATTCAGAGCAGGACTGGGAAGGTGACTCAGTGGTAGAGTGCTTGCCTTGCATGCATGAGGCCCTGGGTTCGATTCCTCAGCACCACATAAGCAGAAAAAGCAGGAAGTGGTGTTGTGGCTCAATTGGTAGAGTGTTAGCCTTGAGCTGAAGAGCTGAGGGACAGTGCCCAGGCCCGGAGTTCAGGCCCCCATGACCAACCAAAAAAAAAAAAAAAAGATTGAGAGCAAGTGCCAGTGTGTGACAGCCCAGAGTTAGGGTTCTAGGAGATAGTCTAGGTAGATGAGGGCAAGAGTGGAGAAAGGGGCTGCTGCAGGGGAAGCTAGTCTGTTGGGGGGATTCCGTGTCTTAGGGCTAGTTGATGGGCAGAACAGAGGCCAGGGAGTCAGGTTGTGGCCCACAGGGGTGACTGAAAACACTATCTTGTGAGTGAGATATAGCTGAGATATGGAGGAACCATCCCTGGAAGACATGCCAGGGAGGAGCGTAAGGGTTTATCTATAATTCTGCCCACAGATAGTGACGGATGATTTCTGAAGACCTACATTACTAACATCTGAGCACTCCTTGCTCCTGGCATGGTGGAGTAGGGGCCAGGGATGCTACTCAGTACCTTGCAGTGACCACTGTGCTAAGAGTGAGATTCCTTAGTAGTTAGGTAGGAAAAATTTGAGTTCAGGTTTTGTCCACACCAGACACTGGGGTGAACCAAGGGACCCCAGCTTCTCCCCCATGCACAGTGTGGCTGCACCAAGCAACATGTGGAACTGGGGCATTGGCTGCACCATCTGTCTTTGGTAGGTGTGTGAGACACATGCAGGCAGACATTATGTTTTATGAGTCCTTGACTTATTCTCTGGGGAACAGGTACTTTGAAACACTGCTTCCCAGGCTGCCTTCTGAGGCTATTTGAGCCATTGGTCCTGGAATCCCTGGCATACTGTGGGGGAGGGATACCTGTGGTGCCTGGGGGTACTGGCATCTTGCCAAGTGTGTGTTTGTAGATGGGCTTAGTTTCTGGTGTTACAGGCGAGGTGGGGCCTGCTCTGTGAGGGGTTGGCTCCTCTGCCTCACATGCGCTGTCTGAGCAGTTACTTGGGCTTTGCTGGCTCCATCCCTATAGTGAGGGCTTGAGGCATTGACAAGTGGCACCTGCTGAGCCCTAAGAAGATGTAGCTAGTGCAGGAATGCTCAGGACTGAAGTCCCTCCTGTCTGAGCCCTCATTTCTAGGCCACTTTGGATAGATCGTGTTGAGGACAGACCTCTGCTTCAGCTCCTCTCCCGGTAGGTTCCACAGATGCTGTGGGTTACACCTATGGGTTGGTTTTGCTGTTCCCTCCTTGTGTCTGGGATTTGTGTGACAGCCTGTCCTTTTCCTAGGGGACAGCCCCTGTTAAGTCAGACAGAGGGTTGCTGGGAGTATCCCTGGCTATCTGGACCTTACCCAGGAGGTGCCAATGTGGGAAGGTAGAAATGTGCTAGCAGTAGGGTGGGCAGGATGAGGTGCTGGGTCACCCTCTCTGCTTGGCACCAGCCTTGTGACCAAGAGCCGGATGCACAATCAGCATGGTGCAGTTGGGCCGACTCAGCCGCATGGTTCTGAATGCCTGGCCTCTGCAGCTCAGTGACCACTCTCTCTGGTGCCACCTTCTGGCCTAGGTATCCCTGAGACCAGGCAACTATTTCCCAAGCTTCCCGCTGCCCTTGGTTCAGTGTTTACCCCTGGCGTGAGGTAGCCCCAGGTCATCCTGTTTGGACATGCATCCTGCCCATGCCACTTTGTCTCCCCATCAGTGAGGCAGAGGCCCCTGCTGCCTCTTGGGTCTCTTGACTGTGTTGGTGGGGAAACTCAGGGACACACTAGGCCCTGAGAGAGGGCAGACTGAGGCTGGGCCTTAAGGCCTCTTGGGCCCACCCTGTGTTCTCCTGAGAAAGGATCGTTGCTGTGTCCAGCCTGGTCCCAGTGTTCCCCTTTAAGCTCTGGGTGTCCGCCAGGCTGGGAGCGCAGGTCCGGCCAGCTCTATAAATAGCCTTGCTATGCCCTGCCGGGAATTGGCACTGCTGAGGTACTCACAGCTCAGAGGGGATTGAAGTGCAGGCTTCCCGCAAGCAGGCCAGCGCCATGTGCAGCCCTGTCTCCAAACTGACAGCTGCTGCCTGTCCCTTTCTGGACCTTGAAATTGGCAGGACCATGTCCAAAACCATGAGGTTACCCAAGTTCCGTAGGCCCTGCAGGGACCATAACAAAGGACTGCCAGGCTCAAGGCAGTACTTAGTGCTGAGAGGGAGACACTCTGATTTTGTGTCATGCTTGGGCTTCCTGGTAAGGATTTAAAAAAAAATACTGAGATGAAATGCACATTGTACATCTCTCCCATTTACATTGTATAGATTAATGACATTTAGCACAAGCAGTTTTATATTCATAATCTGGTTCCAAAACATTCTGGCAAACCTCCCCCCCCCCAAAAAAAAAGGAAGCTTCACTACCATGAGTAGTTACCCTCTCTCTTCCCTAACTCCAGACACCCTGTCTCTGGATTCTCCTTTTCTGGACTTTTCTTACTACCAATGGAGCCACACACTGTGACCTTGTGTCTGATTCTGTCACTGAGAATGAGGTCTTCAAGGTCCCTCCATGTTGTAGCATTGGTCAGAGCCTTGTTCCTCTTCATGGTTGTGTATGATACTCCAGTGTGGGTAGACTGTGCTGTGTGTGTCCATTTGTCCATTTATAGACTTTGGGCTGTTTCTACCTCTGGTTCTGGGAGCATATCTGTCCCACCTGTCTTCAAGAATAGATGTTTTGGGGCTGGGAAGGTGGCTCAGTGGTAGAGCGCTTGCCTTGCATGCCTGAGGCCCTGGGTTCGATTCCCAGCACCACATAAGCAAAAAGAAAAAAGCCGGAAGTGGCGCTGTGGCTCAAGTGGTAGAGCGCTAGCCTTGAGCTGAAGAGCTGAGGG